CCTCCCCCCCCCAGGTGCCCCCGGAGCCGCTCGTGACCCCCCAGGGGGAGCTGGTCTGAGGGGGCGGGGCCTCGGGAGAGCCCCGCCCACAAATAAACCACGCCCTTTCCCAGTTCAAACCAGTGCAGTCCGGTTCCTTCCTCCCCCCCCCAGGTGCCCCCGGAGCCGCTCGTGACCCCCCAGGGGGAGCTGGTCTGAGGGGGCGGGGCCTCGGGAGAGCCCCGCCCACAAATAAACCACGCCCTTTCCCAGTTCAAACCAGTGCAGTCCGGTTCCTTCCCAGTGAAACCAGTGCAGCCCAGTTCAAACCAGTTCAAACCAGTCCAGCCCAGCTCAAACCAGTTCAAACCAGTCTGTCCCTGTTCCCACCCAGTTCAAACCAGTCCAGCCCAAACCAGTCCAGCCCAGTTCAAACCAGTCCAGCCCAGTGAAACCAGTCCAGCCCAGTTCAAACCAGTTCAAACCAGTTCAAACCAGTCCAGCCCAGCTCAAACCAGTCCAGCCCAGCTGAAACCAGTCCAGCCCAGTTCAAACCAGTCCAAACCAGTCTGTCTCCGTTCCTGCCCAGCTCATCCCCAGTCCAACCCAGTTCCTTCCCAGTTCAAACCAGTCCGTCCCAGTTCCCTCCCAATCCCCTCCCAGTTTCCTCCCAGTCCCTCCCAGTCCCTCCCAGTATATCCCAGTCCCTCCCAATCCCTCCCAGTCCATCCCAGTCCCCTCCCAGTCCCCTCCCAGTCCCTCCCAGTCCCCCCCAATCCCCTCCCAGTCCCTCCCAGTTCCCCCAGATCCCCCCCAGTCCCTCACCGGCCTGGCGGGTGTCGATGGTGAACTGGGCGGGCTGGAACGTGGTGCCCTCGCTCAGGCCGGGCCCGCGCAGCTGCACCCGCGACGCGTCCCCGAGCTCGGCCTGGCTGATGGTGACGGCCAGGGGACTGCGCGGCAGCGGCTGCCCGCCGCGGGTGACGTGCACCAGGTGCTCCCCCACCTCCTGGGGGACAAAGGAGATCCCTGCGGGGACAGGGACACGTCACACGGGACAGGGACACAGGGACACAGGGACACGTCACACATGGGGACAGGGACATGGACATGTCACACAGTGACAGGGACATGCCACACACAGGGACACAGGGACAGGGACACAGGGACACAGGGACAGCGGCTGCCCGCCGCGGGTGACGTGCACCAGGTGCTCCCCCACCTCCTGGGGGACAAAGGAGATCCCTGCGGGGACAG